CATGGAGAAGAGAGTCGCAAAGACGAAAATATGAGAGAGGGTTACAATTTGAAGAGAGTAATTTTTTAAGGTAATGACAATTTTCTTGGCCAAAAAAAAAAGCTATAAAAATTTTTAAAAGATTAAAAGCTTCAACAAATTCATAAATGACAAATAAATGGAGTTGGATGTATAACTTTTAAACAATCTTGTCTATTCACTCTGTCAAGTCGTAATCTTTTATTGCCATATTGCTTTTCATTCTCTCTAATGGAAACAAAAGATGCGCCAACTTGAATGCTTTCCTGATAGTTAGCTTCAGCTTGGATCTGTCCTGCTTCATTGGACAATGCTATAATCCATTATATATACCGTCCAATGAGTGAATGATATTTCTTATTTAAAAAAAAAAAAAAAACCCTCCTGCATGATCTTGGAAAAAAGATCATACAGGAGCGAGTGTAATCATATATAACTACGTACCTTGTTGAGAATGAAGGAGGTTGTCTCTGAGATCTCTGGAGTCTCCTTTGTCTGGATGAAGTTTTGGACATACTCGAATGCCTTTGCCTTTTAATCCTTTAATATGAGACGCGATTCTGTCAACACCTCCTGAGAATTCCTCTTTACAATGCATACACTTCCATCTTCGTCCTTCCTCCAATTCCTCAACGTGTTGCCACATATCAACATGCTTTCGCCTTCCAAATGCCTTTCCCATTATTACTCTTCCTGCATACGCAATATTATATATATAGACACTGAACCAAAGTAATAATTAAAATTGAAGTAATACGTTCCACAATTTGGGGCTTGAATTTTCGTCAATAAATCTAATCTACTTTTCCTGCACATACAAAATCGTATACCTTTCCTTAATATGCATGGAATTTGATCGAGCAAAGCAATGAAGGGATGAAGATTATTGTGCGCAAAGAAGCTTCAGAGATCGACCAACCTTGAATCTGTCTGAGTAGATAACGAGTAACTGTGCAAAGGCAGAAGCAGAAACGACAACAAACGAAGATGAAAATGAGGTCACATAATAATAATCAAATGGAAAAGCAGAGCAAAAACAGAAAATTACTGAATGCTATTTCAAGTTGAGGATTGAGGCATGGCGGACAGCTGATCACGGTGAGAAACAGTAGGTGAGTCGAGTCCACAGAATAGGAATATGATGATGAAGACGAAGGACTTTGGGGGAAGAGTGAGTCTGAAATAAATAGTGTGTGCATTGTACAGTGCAGCTGTATGACAGAGTGCTTTATCAGAATGGTGGATGAGAAGGAGAGAAAGGACAGATTCTTGTCTGATGGGCCGATTGACTCCGTTGGCGGAAGCGGGAAACGCCTTTTATTTAAAACCTATTTTCATGTTTAAATCGGTTGTTGAACTTCTAATCTCTAAACTGACTAATACTCCATCTTATTACAAAGCATCTACACCGAAGCATTCAACTTGCCAACTCACAATATAACAAAAGAATACTCCTCTGCTCTTATTTATGGACGGAAAGAAAAGACATTTTTAGTTCTATTTATAAAGTACTGAAAGAAATTTTTTGCATAAATGTACAATTTTATCATTTATTTATTATTATGTTGACTTTGTTTATATAAAATATAGTGTATATTAAATAGAGATAGAGTTGAAGAGTTATTAAATTTTAAATGAGAGTTAATAAAATTTAAAATTTTTTTTAGTCTGTGTTAAACATATTTAAACATTAAATATTTAAGAAAAAATGACAAAAAAATAAGTTCAAAATTATTAAATCTCAAACCATATTTGATAACAACATTTTCTTTAGCGTTGACATCACTAAATTCATAAATAACAATAAATTTTTATTGAAGTTTTTTATTTGATATCAATAATTTTCATTTTTTTTTATTTTTTTAATAGGTATTACACCTTGCAAGTCATGAATTAAAGCATGAGTTGAGACAGTAGTGTTGCAGGCTTTAGGGGTTTGGGGAAGGGTGCTCAATGATTAGAGTTGTTTAATACTACTCCGATTCTAAATATAATATTTATTTTATAGTGTAATTTATATTTTATACTGTAAAATAAATTTTATATTTAAGACCAGAAGAGTATAAACTCTTGTATCATTTTAACCTAAACCAAAAACTTATTTCAGCTATTTACCTACTGTGACCCTAAGCAAGTTTAAGGGCTTGTTTGGAAAGCAGTAAAATAGTTTTTCAATCACAGCGTAGAAGTACTTCACCTAAATGATTATGGGACGTTGTACTACTCCTCCGGTCTTTAATATAGGACTCAATTCTTGAGTTAATTTTGGTCCTAAATATAAGACCCATTTATCATATTTATCAATTTTCTCTAAATTACCCCTATGGATACTCCTTCAACCATAATCAAATAGAAGAGGGAGAGGAGGCATTAAGAAAGATGATTATGGTGTTTTAGGAAAAATGTCACTTTTCTTATAACTAACTAACTTACCTAACTTCTTTAATCTAATCAAATTAGTTAAATGGTTCTTATATTAAGAACCAGAGGAGTAGTATTCATGTGAGGGCGCAGAGCATACATTGTTCTACAGCTGCATGACACGGTGCCTTATTATTGGGAAATTTTTTTAGCACGGCAAAAGTGACTTTACTAAAGACCACACGATTTTTGAAATTATACGGTAAAACCAAAGCATCAAACTCAAAAAAAAAAAAAAAAGTTAATTATGTTTTGATGGTAAATTACCAAGATATTATTTATTTATTTATTATTTTTATAAGTATATATATGTATTTTAACATGCGGCAATAACAAAAATATAAGTGTATATATAAAAATTTATAACCCCCAATTTATATTATAACCACTAGTCCAAAAATTTATGAATGCTTATAAGTTTGGGGCTTGAGTTTTCGTCAGTAAACCTAATCTACTCTTCCTGCACATACCGAATAATCTACCTTTACTTAACATGCATGCGATTTGATCGAGCAAAGTAATCAAGAAATGAAGATTATGAATCGCAACTTCAGAGATTGATCACTCTTAAATCTGTCCAAGTAGAGAATGAATAATCGTGCAAAGGCAGATTCCGATAGTGACAAAACGAAGATGAAAATCGGGTCACATGCCAATCAAATAGAAAAGCAGAGCAAAGAGAGAAACTTACTGCATGCTACTTCAAGTTGAGGATCGAAGCGTGGCGGACGACCGACTCTGGTAAGAAGCAGTAGTGCTGCTGACTTGACGCCTCAACACAGAAGAAATCGCGTTAATAGATTAATATTAACTAAACAATTAGGGAGCTGTAATGAAGCGGCTTTGTATTAACGTGGGCTTGGGCTGTGAAGAGGGCACTAGGGGCCCTGCTACTTTGGGCTTAGGTCGAAAGCGCAGGGGCAGGCTGGAGGTGAAATTCAAAGATATTGTTTTGTTATGCTTCCAAATTGAAATACTCCTCCGGTTCTTAATATAAAACCCAATTCTTGAGTTGGTTTTGGTCCTAAATATAAGACTGATTTCTCATATTTATTAATTTTCTCTAAATTACCTTTATAGATACTCCCTCAACCATAATCAAGTAGAAGAAGGAGAGGGGGTATTAAGAAAAATGATTATGGTGTTTTAGGAAAAGCATGTCACATTTTTTATAATTAACTAACTTACCTAACTTCTTTAATCTAATCAAATTAATTAAATGGGTCTTATATTAAGGATCGGAGGAGTACTAAAACAAAATTTTTAATAATTCCAATTTATTTATTATGTGATATTATAATAATATTTTTATACAATATTAAATCTCCAACGTTAAACTATTAATTTAAATGATAGAAATGATGCCCATTTTTATATATGTATCTCATATCTTTTTCTCAATCATTCTCCTGCATTTCTTTTCCTGTTTTTCTTTTTCACTCATCATTTTCATAAAATAAGGGTATATTTAAAAAAATTACATATCTTATATATTTATTATTTTTAACTAATTTTAACCAACATTTTAATTTAGCCGCCACTTAGGACCAGAGGAAGTAATCTAGTTTTTAAATATTTTTATTAATTTAGGTTCCGGTAATGAGCATTAGTAAACTTACGTTAATTTACAACAATTTAAGATTAGCATCAAATACGATAATTTTAAATAAAATATTTTGCACATTATTATACTCCTATTTAATTTACAACAATTTAAGATTAGCATCAAATACGATAATTTTAAATAAAATATTTTGCACATTATTATACTCCTATGTTAAAAACGGCAGCTGCCACATGCAACCAAAGACAAGGAGCTGTCGGAAATGGTAAATGAATCAGTGATCCGAATAAATAGAAATAGCTATTAATTCTGAATTTACAAAAAAAAAAAAAAAAGCGCTGTGACGTTTCAGAAATTCTGCATTCACACAAGGTAAGCTTAAACTTCAACACTCTAAAGGTGAGGATAAGCTAGTAGAAGAAGATCCCGTTTGGTAACGTAAGGCTAGAACTGTAATGATTTTAAAATGTTAAATTGAACTGAAATTTAAATTTTAAAATTAAATAAAAAATCAGAACAATTAGCGGATTAACTAGTTCGATGGGTAGAAAAATTTATAGCGACAAATCCAAATTTAGAACCTGAAAATATTGAAATATTCTCAATTTAATTTGATTAACAGGTGACATATGACATGAAATAAATTAATTTGGACAGGGCTCGTGGAAACTGATGGGGTCAAAATGACTATTTCACGTGAAAGTTGACCCACCAAATGGCTTGTGAGAAATCTGATTCAGAAACTTGCCTAGCTTCTTCTTCTTCTTCTTGTTTGTGCTCTTCTCCTCACAGCTTTTTCTGCAAATATGAAACCTCATGCTATTAAAAAGAAACCGATACCGAACGCATCTTTATAAAAATCCATCTAACTTTAATCTTTGTCATAATCTTTAATTACCTAGCTTCATCATGCTGCTGGGAATTCCAACAACTTCCAACATTCCTGGCTGATCCTCCAAATCTATCATGTTTGCGAATCTGTGCATTAACGTTATTATCATCCACACGTGATCAAGTTGCGAAACAAATTAGAAGCTCCAGTTGAAAATCTCTTGCTTCCTTTCAAGGGAGATAATGAAGAAGAAGAAGAAGATGATGATGATAGTGATATATAAAATAGTGTCTCTGACGTATCAGTTTTGTCAGTTTCGTTTCTTTGATGCTTGCTCATGTTCATCGAATTGGGTTGATACAGAGAAAAATATAGCGAGTGATTCTCAAGTTTGTCTGCTTCAACTTCACCAGATTCACTTCCATCTGCTAATGTGGACCTATCGGAACTCATTTCTGATGATAGCTTGTCTGGAGAATTTGGTTTGAAATATGGAAATCTTTCAAGTTGAAGTTCTTTTGGTAGCAATGGGTGCTTCTGCTGTAGCTGTTTGCCTTCTGTATCATACACTTGAACAGGAATCTCCTCGTTCAATATGGAAGCTTTCCTTGGACCAAACATAACAGTTTCTGCATAATCAAAGAGGCTTCTCAACAAATACTGACACAACTTATTCTGAAAATTGTTACTGAAGGAGAATGCTGCATTATTTCATTTGAAGGACATACCAAAAGGGGAGGCTGGATCTGAGATCCTGAGGACGTATTCATGATCAGGGATAGGAGTAATGAGGTCATCATCCAACAAGTCTTGCCACAAGTACCTTGTCTCGTACCTCCTACTACCAATTTGAATCCACAGATCACACACTTCAACTCACTCCCAAAAAAAAAAAATCAAAAGTAGAGCATAAGGGTACAATTCATTCTTCCTCTTGTAGGATCATGCATACGTCTCTGCCAAATCCCTCCCTCTTGCTTCCCAATCCACCTCTTCACATGTTTTTTTTTTTGGATGTCTCCATCCAATATCCTGAGTCAGGCCATCTTTCAGGTACTAAAACGAGCTCAGACTAATCCATATCAGCCATCATAGGACCCCAAAGGCGGTTAGCCTACCACCAAGTATTTAATGCTGTTGCATGCCCAAGATTCAAACTCAAGACTCTTGGTTAAGTTAGAATGACCCCTTACCAGTTGACCTAACCGCTTGGTGGTCACCTCTTCACATGTGTTATCACATGAACAAAGTCCATAAATCATGAACTGAGAAAGCGAGGAACAGGGTGCTACACACAGAGACAGAGGTGCCTGTAATTTGCAGACCCAGCGTTTCAAAAACCAAAACCACAGTTCACGCCGTTCTTATCCGTGTGTTTCCACTAAATCTTGACTGATAAAAAACTTTTCTTACAACACTTAATAATGTGGTTTTCAGGTTCCAAAGAGAAGTCCAAAACCTTAAAATTTAGGGAAAGAAAGAAAGTATTAAAAGACAGAAGAGGGAAGCATACAACATTGGAAGTGAGAGTCAACAAATCATGACGTGCAAGCGGGAACAATTTTCTTAAAGGTAACAGAAACGTGCAAGGAATTTCACGGGAATGTAATGAAAGAAACAGAGAAGTTAAAACACCTCGAAGATAGACTCCACTGCAAGCCAGACAATGAATACGTATGAGATGACGTTTTTCAGAACGACCCATCAAACTGAGGAAGTACACTATATGGATCCTTCTCACTTCACCACCTTTACTTCCTTTACTTCCTTCCATCTCCTTCTCTCTCTCTCTCTCTCTCTCTCTCTACGCTGCAATCCCAGATCTCTCTTCCTTCAATTCACAAGCTTAACTCTCTGCTACTTCACAAGCAAGCAATGGCAATATATATACACTGTAGAAATCAGCTAACCTGCGATAAGAAGAAAGATCTCTGTCTCTCATGGTGCCGGCAGCTACTAAAATAGGAGTTGATAATAATCCAATATTGCCTTTCGATGTCTGATTGATTACTATATATGGTGAAGATAATGCAGGCCCGCTGGAAACAGAGTCGTACTTGGAGTAGCGTACCCGTAAATAATTTGAATTTGAACATTCTCATGCCAGCTCAAAAAAAAAAAAAAAGAATATTCTCATGCCATATAGGAGGACTTCTAATTTTATATGATTAACACACTATTTACATGAACCACTTCTGTTTATTTATTCATTTATAATTATAATTAATAATCAGTTCTTGTCCTCACGGCATTACTCTCAAAAAAGGAAAATTCTGTTTCTTTCTTTCTGTTGCCATATCTTTTCTTTTTGTTTTTCAAAAGTTTAATTACAAATTTCAAATCTTAATTTTGAAAATAATTCAACTACGAATACAATATGATCTTTCCTCAAAGTCAGCTTTTTGATTCATGATGGCAAAATACCTATTTGCATTGTATGGCTGGCATTCATACTTAATATATAGGTTCTGTTTGGTATGAAGTATTAAAAATAAGGGATGAGGATTGAGATTGAAAGTGCAAAACTATATTAAAAGAGTGTTTAGTATGAGTAATTGTATGATACTTGGGATGAGACAAACCCATATATGCGGAATTGGAAAATATCATGAGGGGAGGTGGTATTCTCCAATCCTATCTATCTGGGATTGCCTAATCCCATTGATAAGAAAACACTCATGTTAAGCATCTTTTTAACATGTTTTCAACCCAATTCCAATCCTTATCCCTCATTTTTAATACTTCACACCAAACGTAACCTATAGTATCTTGAAGAATAGATATGCCATGTGCATTTTCTTAAATTTGTGACATAAAATTTTTAAAAGCTTACAATCAATTTTTTTTTTTTTTGTCATTTGAATACTTATTTTGTCAAATGTTGAAAACCATGTACAATCTAATCCATATAAAATTTAAATGATTTCACTTGAACAAAAAAAGTCGACAACCAAATGAGAATTGAATAAATGGTTTCACTGCAAATATAACAATAAATTATATTAAAATAACAAATAAAAATATACAAAAATAAATCACTTTATTTAAAACAATAAAAATCAAATAAAAGTAAACAGGATTTTTTTTTTTGTTGCAAAACTGTCCTCAAATATTATAGATATATTTTTCCAGTTAATTATTAGCGCACCCACTCGAGAGTACAAGTTTAAATATTATACACCCCCTCTATTGTTAATTTTCGCATCACATCCTCTATATGTTTTTCTTACTAGCGTATATGTTTCTAACTTCAAAATTAATTTTTTTTCTCACTCAGGTCACTAAAAAAAAAAAATTAAATAACTCTCAAATTTTCAAATTTGTCGTGTCGTGCACATGTGAACCTCCGACAGAGGTAAGTCAGTAACTAAAAAAAAAAAAGTACTAGATAATTCTCAAATTTTCTAACTTGTCTTATAAATAGAAACAAATCACTCTCCAAAATGTTGTCCTACAAACAGAAACTGAGGACAACCAATTTTAAGATACTTGAAAGCATTTTAGTATAGTTAGTAAGGTTTTATTCATAAATAAGTCCCTTGTTCAGAGTTCATATGTAAATTTGCCTATGTAATTCCACTTGAGTCCAGTATAGAAAAGTTCCTTGAATAAGTCTTCATGACATTCTTCCAATAAAATAGTTTTGTTGCTATAAGCAAGTAGTTGCATTACAAACCTAGTTTCATCATAAATAAATGTACCGACTAAAATAGCGTAATTGAATAAATATAGAAGCACAAAACATAAATATAGAATCAAAAGTAGTTTTTAAATAATGACTCAAAGGATATCAGGTCCTATCATCTTCAGTGTCACACACAGCAATAACCGTGTCCTGCATATTACATTACCAAAAAGAATTAGAATAATTGAGAGGCATGCCACAAACAACTTTGCAATTCGACTTCGTACCATATGATTATTTGGCTCTAATATAATAAATTAATTTTAGGCATTCTAATTGCGGGAGGAGAAGCTCATGAAGTATATTAATCATCAACATAATATAAAATGAAGTTAAACAGTGGGGGCACATACGGACCTGATTAGTCACTTCCCAGTAGCACCCATCCAGGGTCGTCTTATTTAGAAGCACATTTCCATTATTTGGGTTCACTATCAGAGGGGGCCTTAATTGATTGCAAGATTCAGAATAGAATGTTTGGAGAGAAGGGCAGATCATGGTGCCTCTGTATACGAGATCTAATTGTGGCATGTCAAACAATTCAAGAGATGTCAACATGGGAAGCTCAATAGTAGGGGGCGAACAGCTATTCAGAAGGGCCATGAGTTCGTCAACACCAACAAGTTCCGGTACAGAATGATCCTCTTCAACTATTTCTTTCATCTCCTCACATCTACTAACACAAATGGTGCGCAGGTTTTGGAGGAGTGCTGGTAACCCAAACGCGATCAGAGTCTCCATGCTGTCGCAATCATGAATTTCAAGATCTGTGAGACGAGAAAATAGGGTGGATTGATGCAAGGAATCAGCATATGGCGACACAAAACTTTTCAGGTTGTTCAAACGGGAGAGTCTTAGACGTCCAACAAGTTGGAAAGAGGAGCAAAAGGGGCAATTGCAACACCACAAGTACTCCACATCTTCATAGACGCAAATATCCAACAGTTCAATTTCGTGTGGATCATTGTTGTGGCCATATGATAAAACAGTACATAGGGGTCCAGCACCTGTCCCTTGCTGGCAATCAATCATATCCAACTCCTTCATGTCTGCAGGGAGTATTACTTTTTCATTTCCCAAAACCATATTCTTGATAACCACCTTTTTCATGGGACATTCTATGATAGCATTTCCATTGCAGAGAACATCACTTGGGCCAAGATCGTAACTTCTACCCTGTAAAGTTAAATGATAGCCTCTGGTTGCACAATTATTGCCCAGGAAGCTCACAAAGGTATTGAATATACTAACGTCACGAAAATGGGCTACTATAACTTCCAGCTTTTTCAAACCTTGTGTACCTTGTACTGTCACATCTGTTTTGTACAGGGGACCACCGAGCTCAAGATGCTCTAAATTGATCAATTTGGACATGAGCGATATTGACATTACCAGCTTATCTGTATGGAGCAGATTCAGGTATCTGAGATTGACCAATGATTCCAAGCCCACAGGTGCTTCACTGATGGCAGTAAAAAATAGATCCAATGATATTAAGCATTTCAATTTTCTTAATGATGGAATGAAACTCAATTTTCTACATCCTGAAAGTAACAATGCGGTGAGACATTCCAAGCTAGACACCGAGCTGGGCAAACGTTTGATTCCAGTCTCAGACAAGTCAAGTGTTTTAAGAGTAGGCATGTTGTTAAAAAAATCGTCTGAGATATACTTGAGTCTTGCATTGTGATTCAAAAGCAATGTAGAAAGTTGAGAACACCTAGGACATGTGCCATCTGGAATTGTTTGTATCTTATTCCACATCAAAAAAAACTTTTTGTAGATCTTCTTTCCACTGGTCATCACTTGGTATTTCTGTTAACTTCTCATGAGCTTTTCTCATAATTTTACCAGTTTCTTCCGCAATACCAGCGGCAAGGACTCTAAGGAATTTGTTTGTCATCCAATAACCATCATCATAATCCAACATGCTATGATTCTTTAATTTACGTAACATGTTCCAGCCTTCGTTATACTGCGCCCCCAACTTCTCTCTCTCATCAATGCTTTCATAGACAAATCTTCTTATCAAATGATCAGGATCGTCATTATCAAAACTTCCATCGGTACTTAAGATGCAATATAGGAAGAATCTTTGGAATTTGTTAGTTAAGAAATCATAGCTAGATCTCAAAACTGGAAATACACATTTGCCCATTTCATATTGCCCATTGCCCAAGTTTTCAAGAAATTCCAACATATGTCTCCATTCTCTAGCTTCTGTTTTCCACTTCATGCTTGTCGCGATTCTAACAATAGCTAGGGGAAAACCCTCACATTTTTGTGCCACATTCTGTGCAATATTTTCCACTTCCGAAGACAGTTCTTTACAGAATAATCCCAAAAACTCATCAAACAAAGCCCAACTATCTTCTTCATCTAGAGGCTTCACTTTTATTACCTTCTTACAATCCATACCTTGACACACTTCCCTTATACGGGTAGTCAAAATCAATTTAATTCGATTATCTGATATGGGAAATACGACGTCCTGTAGAAAAAAATGATCTCAAATATCATCTAAAATAATAACACATTTCTTCATCTCTTTGAATGCTTGAAATAATTTCAGGGCAATTGTTTTAACCTCATACTCATCAGATATATCCAAATCAATTGATTTGGCTATCACTTTTTGCAAATGCAAGATGCTATTTTGTGATACAGTTACCCAAATAACTTTAATGTCATTATTAATAAGCTCATGATGTATATGGGTTGCTAAGGCTGTTTTTCCTGACCCTCCTCCTCCCCAAATTCCAATAGCTGACTCCCCCACAATCACCTCCTCCTCATCATCATCATCCATTATCCTTTTCCTTATATCTTTACTCTGCCTCATAAAAACCCTTCCTATTAAATCTGTTGTAGGCAATGCATAACCTTCGGAAGATCCTAGCGACCAGAATAGTAAGAAATAATTAAAGATGGTGAGAAGAAATAAAAAAAATGGAGACGAGAGTGCTATATAAGAGAGGGTTACAATTCAATGGGAGTAATTTTTGAATGTTATGACAATTTTTTGGCCAAAAATCATTATGAAAAATTTTAAAAGTCTAAAAAATTCAACTAATTTTATTAGATTTTTCATAAATGACATGTAAAATGAGTTGGATTGAAGTTAACTTGCCCTTAATTTGTCACTTTGGGAATTAATGCAATATAGTGCACAATCCGGGTCGTATTCACTTTGAGGAGCCGAAAATGAAATTAAATCTTAGTAAATAAATGCAAGTAACCTAAACTATAAAAAAGGATTTTTGATTTGATAATTGCTAAGTAAACATCTTGAATTAAATTGAAATTAAAATACTTTTTTTTAATATAAAAATGATTAAAATGAATGAAGATTAAAGAAATGAAAATGAGACACACAAGTAACAATGATAATAATCAATCATTTAATTCAACAATGTAGGCAATCATCACTCTAAAAGATGTGGGAGTTAAAAACAATGAATTAAGAATTATAATTAAGCTTTTAATCCAATAACCGAGCCACCTCGAGTTGCCACAAAATATTTTCCTAAAATCCCAACTTACTAACTCCCGCCAAAATAGTAAAATGGGATTAAGGATGTTAAAAATCAATGCTTAATTAGAACTCTTAAATCCAAAATAACAGAATTAAAGCTAGCAAGAGACTATGATCCAAAATTCCAAACCATATCAGAAAATTACAATATATTAACTCCAAAATCAATACAAATGTCATAACCACAACATTATAATTGAAATTAAAGTTATAAACAGCCCAATGTCAAATGCTAAGCAATAATCCAGTCACTATAATCTCCAAATATAATCAGATTAAGCAATACAATTATCCCAACAATCAGAAAAACTATCCTAAGACCTAGGAATTGTTAAACAATTATTGAGTAAGAAATTAAAGCAACTAAAACTCCCCTTGATCAAAGCTCTTGCCATTATTGTTGAATTGGAAGATTATGAAGTTTAGCCTCGGTTTGCCATCAAAAATGCCATAATTAGAGCTCTGTTACAGGCTTCCATGGAAGAAGACGGTGACGGAACTGATTTTGCTGTCTCAGTCGTTCTGTGCGCCGGCAAGGAGAAGAAGAAGGTGAAGGCGCCGTCGCTCACTGGTTCGTCGCCCAGCTCCTGCTTCTCGCCGTCACGAGCTCGTGTTCCGCTTCGCGTCTTGCTCTGTTTTCAGCGCCGCTTGCGTCCTCCCTGTTCGTGCTTCGGTCTCCCTGGAGAAGATGAAGAATAGTTGCGTCGCGTTCTCTGTGCGTGTATCAGCTGGTCTATCTCCTTCTCTCTGCCGCCGCTCAGCTCGTCGGTGTGTTCGTGCTTCCCCTGTTTTTCTCCAACCGCGCAGCTCGTTCCCCGTTTCGTTCGGCGTCCGTTGAAGAAGATGAATATTAGATATTAGGGGTGGAGCAAAACGCTGCGTTTTGCTCCTCCCTTTTATTATTTTATTTTTTTTTATTTTCAAAATCTTCCAAAAACCTGCAAGCAAAAATTTAAAGATAAGGTAGCATTAATTGTCCTCAAAAATCAATTAGTCACAATTAAACCAAAATATGACAATTTTGCCCCTATAAAATAATAATTCAAAATAAAACATATTAAATCAATTAATCAATCAATTAAAATCAAAAGGGACTAATTAAGTTGACAAAACTCATATAAAAGATATCAAAATATATAAAAATAATTGAGTTTGTCATGGACATATATTTTATATGCAAATACCCATACCTTTTTGTAAACGATCATGTCTATTCACCTCGCCAACTCGTAATCTTTTATTGCCATCTTGCTTTTCAACTTGTGCATAGTGGCGTCTTGCTTTGTCATATGTATTTTGTTTTTCTTGGTTTAGGTCACAGTTGAGCAACTTCAAAGCCAAATCGTCCCTTTCTTTTTCACTGTCAAACTACATAGTTGTCCGTATCATTTATATGATCAAGGGTCTGTTTAGGATGAAGAAAATGGAGGAGAGGAAAGAAGAATGAATATTTTAACAAGACTGATTTAAAAAATTGAAGAAATAGAGTTAAAAGCTTTTAATTAATTTTTAATACTCTTTTTTATTTTACATATCATAGCCGTTCCCAAACCTGGATAAAGGAGGAGGGTTGTGTTAGGCCTCGACAGCCAATATAAAAACCTGTCGAATCTCATGAACCGTCAATGAAAAAATTATGCTATTGCGAGGTCGTTGCCTAGAAGTAACACGCTATATGGCTCGAGTATAATGAGAAGTGAGCTAAAGCCGCTACATCGTCACCCAGATGTAGTGTTAAATAAGCAAAGGCTACCACACTCTTTTGGATGGAGGCGGCTAAAGAAGTTAGTTCATGAGAGCAAGATTAGATTTGGTACTTTTTTTTTTTTGACCGGAGGATTAGATTTGGTACTTGAAATATTAGGATTTTGAACGAGAAATCTATGGAGGTAGTAAGAGTTATGAGGGACAGAAGGATTAATATCTTGTACCTTCAAGAAACTAAATGGGCTTAGGGGTGGTAATACGGGCCAACCCGCGGGTTGCGGGTTGGCCCGTGATGGGTTCAACCCATATGGGTCGGGTTGAAAAGCGTCGTTTGAAGGCGGGTTGGCTTTTAGCCAACCCTAACCCGCCAAGGTGGGTTGGTGGGTTGGCCCTCCAACCCGCCAACAATTATTTACTTTTTTTAAAAAAAATTTTAATCTTTTAATATTATTTTTTTATTCAATATTTAAAAAAATATAATGATATTTTTACTTTTTTTCTTGAAATATTTGATTGGAAATACCAAATAAATTATATAGGTATTTTTTTTTAATTTTTTAGATATAATATCATATATAATAATACAATTATAATAATTTTTAAAAATTTTATAAAAAAAAAATATGCGGGTTAGCCCGCGGGTTGGCGGGCTAACCCGCGGCGAGTTGCGGGCCTGGCGGTGCGGGTTGGAAAGATTCGTTTACTGGCGGGTTGGCGGGTTGAACCCGCGGGTTCAACCCATATTACCAGCTCTAAATGGGCTAGAGAAGTGTCCGTGGAATTTGGAGAGTAAAAACTTTGGTACACAGGAAAGGTGAGTACAAGGAATAATGTTGGTATTATTGTGGACGGAACATGGAAGAAAAATGTGGGGGGGTTAAATGGTTTGAGGACAGAATAACATCTTTTAGAATAATTGTTGGAAAGGATACTTTCAATATCATAAGTGCCTACACACCTCAAGTTGGGTTAGAGACACACCTTAGAGATAATTTTTGAAAAGATATGGAGGGGTTGATTCAAAGCATACCACTTGAAGAAAAAAATTTTATCGGTGAGGACTTTAATGGACATGTTGGCAAGGAAGGAGGGCAATTTGCTGAGGCTCATGGTGGTTTTGGTTTTGGAGAGCTTAACAATGGATGACAATCTATTCTTAACTTTTCACTTGCATATAATTTCAAGATTGTCAACACTTGTTTTAAGAAGCGAGAGGAGCATTTAATCATGCACAAGAGTAGCGCCTCAAAATCATAGATTGATTTCTTTTTGGTTAAGAATCCGGACAGAAGACTGTGTACTAATTGTAAAGTGATTCCTAAGGATGGGTTGACTACACAACATAGAGTACTTACCCTTATGTGCGTTTTAAGAGTATCAAACAAAAGTATCATCAAGTGATAAACCCTAGAGTTAAGTAGTGACAGTTACACTACAAGAAAATGTTGAATTAGCAGCGGAACATTTCTAGCGGTTTTTAGAAAAACCGCTGCAAATTACAGACGGTTTGACCATTGCCAGCATATTTCTAGCGGTTATCACCTAACCGCTAGAAATTCAAAGCTAGAAAATTTTCCGGGTTTTGGCAGGAACTTGGCGCCAAAATTGTAGCGTTTATTTTCTAGCGGTTCAAGCCAATAAACCGCTAGATACTGAAAATTTCTAGCAGTTGATACATGAACCGCTAGAAAGGTTTTAATTTCCCGAGGAGTTTAGAAATTTCTAGCGGTTCATCTAGAAACCGCTAGAAATTGCTAGCGGTTCATGTAAAAACCGCTAGAAATTACTAGCGGTTTTTACATGAACTGCTAGAAATTTCTGTAAATTCCCGAGGCGCTTGGTGACCGTTAGGCTTTTCTAGCGGTTTTTCCCAGAACCGCTAGAAATGCTCGGCCTATATATACCCCCTTCACTTTCACTTCTTCAATCGTTCAGGAAGCAAAGCTCTGCTGAATTTTCTCCACAAAATATATTCGAGTTCTAGTTCAGTTACAGATCCTTATTTTCAGGTAAAAGTAGTAATTTATTGATAGATAATTTTTATTTTTATGTTTTATTTTATTTAATTTATTATGTTGTGGCTTATAAATAATTTTTATTTTTATTTTATTTATAAATAATTATTATTTGTTGTTATTAGGATGAGTCGTCGGCCAGGGAAGGACCTAGTTGATCCTGAGAGAGCTGGACCCAGTGAGGTTCATCATGATGCTGGTGAGCCACTTCCCAGCATTCATGACTACGATCTCAGCGAGGAGGATATCCTCAGTTTTATGGAGCAGGATGATATTGAGCGGACTGAGGAGGCTCATTTTACTGGGGATGAGCAACCCCATGCTGATGCTGATGCTGATGCTGCTGACAAGGAGGAGGAGGTGGAGCAGGATCAGGGGAATGAGAATCCCCAGGCTGCGCAGCGTCCTGCTCCGAGACATCAGGCTTGTTTTGAGGTGGAATTTGTCGGTTAATATTTATTTAACTTTTTTAAATTTTGATAAGTATTTAATTTATATAGAAATTGTATTAATTCATTGATATATAATTTATTTCTTAATTAAATTTTGCAG